AAAGACACTAGGCAAGTGTCACATATTCTGTATATTTTGCATTAATCATACCCCCCAGTAAAACTCGGTAATCCGAGCACGGACCTACTGACCGCTCAGGTCCGACACGTTACACATGTAATGTGATACTTATCTAAAGAAACTATTGATAAATTGCCCGTATAGATTCTCATTCTGGCATCAATATACACAATACACTGTACTTTGTTTAAATACATTTACAGAAAACCATTACTGTAGGGAGATGTTGTTTCGATTGATAATGGAAATCTTATTTTATTTATAATAAGAAATAGTAAAGAGTGTCCACTCAGAAGTTTAATTTTTGTTTGACTAAATCTTTAGCATTCAAAAAAATTAAGGAGCTTTGTCCTTAGAGGAATCCCGAGGCGCTCCTAAACCCACTTGCCTTAATTATCACCTCTACTTACTTCACTTTAAGGTCAGACGATGCGTTCCTCAAATATTTACATATTTTACATATCTTCGTATTTGAAATATTCAAAATTTTTACTTAATTATAATTATCTCCTCTTAGAAGAAGATGTGGCCCTTCATTTGAATAAATCTAAATTCTCTTTTAACAAAGATACTTTGTGGCAAGTTTGGTTGAAATTGGCCCAGTTGTTCTTGAGAAGAAGATGAAATTGTGAAGAGTTTACCATGACGACAAAAGCAACAACGACAGCAGAAAATGGACAGATTTTTTGTGCGCCAAAAATCAAAAGTCCGTTTTTTTTTTTACAGTTACCGACCTTATGAGAAAAGTTTTAAGATGGGTTAAGGTCCTTGCTTACGTGAGTATCTGATATCATAGATGCAGTAAGCAACATAATGATGTTGACATGCGAAATAATTATGTCAGCATGCAAGATAATTACGTTAACATGCAAGATAAATACATTACAATGCAACACATCATTGTCAGCATGCAGCTTATTTATGTTAACATGCAACATAATTATGTAAACATACAACTTATTAATATCAACAGGGAAGATAATAAGTTGTCCCTGTAAATTTAATATCAATTCATAAATATGTAAAAAAAAAAATGATAATGGAAATAATGTATTGAAGTTCAAGGAATGCATTATAAACATTGTATATACTGTCCGATTTGATTTATGGACTTTTAAAAATAAACAACAAAATGAGGTTCTGACCTCAAAATGGCATCTTATTTTGATAATGATTGTGCCTATTCATTGCACAAACATTAATATTCTTTTACTAGTGACAATACTTCCTGTTTCATTTTTTACCCTCTTGAAGTTCATGAGAAGTAAACCTTTTATATAATTATATCAAGGATTCTGGTTTGGATTTAGCAACAGTAATGTAAGAATCGGATTGATAATTTCAGTTTTAATATGAGGGTAGCTAGATCGTAGGGTGATTCTCTTTGATTGAAATAGTTTGCTAAAGTTTAATATATAGTTTTGATGCGTTGTAATTCCGTGCGTGTGATAATTTTTTTAGAATGATTTGTTTTGTTGCTGAAGAATGTCCTAATTCTAATATTTTAGAAACATATATCAATGAAATTGGACAAGGAATGTGTTTGCAGCAGGTATTTCAAATGGCATCATATATTTTGCGACACCCTGTATCTTGCATATTTACATAAATAGGTCGTATGTCGATATAATATGTTGCATGTTAACATGGTTAACATACGTGTAAATAAGCTACATGCCAACTCAATACTGTTGTATCTAATTACAAATGGCTTTAGCAAGCAAGTTTACCAACAATAAAACTTCAACCTCTTAGGAGATTGATAACTTGCAACAAGTCAACATGATTATTTTGCATGAAGACATTTTAAATAATCGCATGTTTACCTAATTCGATTGCAACTGAACATAATTTACCTTGCATGTGGGGAGCAGAAATATATCACCCTATAAAGCAAATAATAAAAAAAACTATTTGACTGTATGCTCATCAAATATTATGTGAATAATTCTTTGTTTCTCACCTTGGTGATTATTTCCTTTCAATAATAACGGTACATTGGATATTCACAACGAGGTGAATCTTAATACTGATAAGCGTTGAATGGCGTGTATATGATAAAAGGTAAAGTTTAGAACACCCGACTGATAAGATACAGCGTGTATCGATATACAGTTAATCAACGAAAATTTTTCAAGATACAGCTATCATTTCATCTTTTTGTTGATGTCGGTAACTTATTTAGAAGTGTATTTCAGTTTGTTCATCACATGTAACAATCATGGCATTTTAGAAAAATACTTATCCGCATAAACTAATCATATATACTGGGTGATAGTATGTAATATATTACATTATTGGACCATTTGTTATATTGATGAAAAAGTCTACTTCTTAAGATATTCCAGTATTTCAACAAAAGGCATTAAAATCGGTCCAGAATTTAGTACATTTTAAAAGATTGATAATGTAAATAGGTTTTTATTTAAAAAAAAAAACAACTTTGAAGAATTCAGTGGATGTTTATTGTTTTTGTTTTATTGCCTGACGTCACGGCGTGAGGCTGTGAAAGGATTTGATATTTCCAAGATCAGAAACTGTGCGATCATATCTAGAAAGCTACATGTATACAGTGTATTTTGTGCAAGCTGACTTTATATTGGAATCTTTTACCTGCATTTCAAAATAAACAGTTATCAGAAAAAAGAATATTACTGATGCGAAATACTGCAGTGTTCACTTCCGTACTCTTTTTGCATGGAACAGATCATCCCATGTTATTCGCCTTTTCAACATGATCGTGTATCCTTTTTCCGCAACTCTATACTACTGGATCAGTCCATTTATTTTCTACGAAAGGGGTGAATCGCTACTTTTCGCGCCAAATGTCACTAGTCAGCTATCTTCGCGCCTTTTCCTTGGATTGTTGTGCTAATTAACTTCCATGGAATTGAATAAAGTTTGTCTGTTTTACTTCCTTAGAATTTAATGCTTAAATTCATCTGTAAGTTTTATATCATTCTTTAAAACAACATATCGTATACATCAGTTTATGGACATGCAACAATAAAGAAATGATTTTTCTAATTTGTTTCCCGATCCCGCGGTTGGTTTATTTCGTACATGTAAATGAACTAGTCCAATAGTAATAAACAACTCAGTTCAAGTCATCGTATCCAGATGCATGATCTATTATATGTGAAACTACCCCCCCCCCCTCCATTTTAAGAAAAAAATAATGAGCACACATTACTATTGTTTTACTTCAGAGGAGATTATACACTCCAACAAAATGTGTATCTAATTATATCCATCTTTTAAAATGTTTATAATACATTATTTGATAACAGATTTTATAAAAGGTGTTTCAATGTAGCTTGAAATCAATTTCGACCGAAGGGCAGATAACTCCACTTGCAGAATCCATGCCCCCCCCCCCCACCAAGAATAACAACTCCTTAATATGCAATGTAAAGATTATTCTTCTACAAGTTAAATATAACGTTCACGGTAGTCTAGTCGTGGTAAAGCGTTCGCTTCGTGATCGGGAGGCCCGTGTTCGATTCTCGTTCGCAGCGCCGCATCAAACCTAAGACGTAAAAATAGGTAGTGACTGTTCCTTCACCAAGCGCTCGGCATCAGAAAGGAAAGTCACGGGTCATTCGGATATGACCTTTAAAACGTAGGTCCCAGGTCACGGTAGGCGCTGGCACGATAAAGAACCCTCACTGCTCAAAAGCCCAGAGTGCCGAGTATAGGTCTAAATTTGAAGCCCTTCACCGGCATACGGTGACGTCTCCTTATGAGTGAACAATTCTCGAGAGGGACGTTAAACAATATACAATCAATCAATCAATCTACAAGTTAAATAAAATCTAGATTTCAATTACATTAACAAAATATAAAGTAAGGATATATTTTAAAACCCACAAAAGTATTGCTTAAAAGTTTTTCACTCTTCCTGCATAAAAATTAATTGATTGAGGCAGGCAAGCTTTTTAAAAAGCTGTTACATGTGTACTTGTTACCATAATGTTTGACTCTTCTGTATAGATGCTTATAGCTAACACAACACACATCTTCAGTTCCATTAAAAAAAATACCTGTAGCTGTGTACTTAGAAAGTCTGTACTTCCTCTTTAATCTGTTTTGAATAACTAACAGATTTTGGTGGTAACTTAATTCGTATAATGCTCTTGCACATAAGCATTTTGTCATGGAGCTTTCGATATGGTTATCTATGAAATATGTTATCAATCTTAATAATTCAGTCAAGTTTACATTTAACTTTCTGAAATACCGTTATTTTAAAGTTGTTTACATTATGACTGATCGTATTTTGCTTGCCTTGTTTTATACCGCCTGTTAGGCCTTTGTTTGCATTTGACTATAGACAATTTCGTCTACCTCATCAATATATAGTGCTTATGGCGTTTCTGATCGGTCAACAGGAGATGCTTGCTCCTCCTTAGCACCTGATAGAATGTTAAGGGGTCCTCGTTTTTTACCTCAAACTCAATTAAGAAAGGCAATTTTGGCATCATTTTGTTTAATTTATCATTCCGTGTATTTGTATAATAATCAAACTTCAAACGTAAAATATACACTGCGTAAATTTCACTTCTAAAACATTGAAGTTGACAGCTTTTTCCTTTAAATTTAAAAATATTATAACTAATTAAGACCATCATGAAGAAAAATTTAATGAGAATCCAAACTATGATTTAAACAAACAAAACCAGTGATTAAATTAACTTTCAATTGATACATGTACTTATTTACAGATAATGACAAATGAATTGTTGAAAGTTCTGTATTGCACACCAAACCGTGTGTATGAGATGACTTTTTCAAAATATGTTATGTTTTGCAATAATAGAAGAACATTTCAATTTGTCTTAGGTCAAAGGCAGCTATAATGCGAAAAAAATGTTAACATACGGTTGTATATATTTTGATATATTTTGTGGTCGTTATAAATTTTAAGCATTTTATTTTTTCCATATTTGTCTTGGATTTAAGCATTTTATAATATTAATTTAAAATTCAAACAGTTTTAATACTTTAACTTTTCCCAAGAAACTTTCCACAAGGAGCAAATTATCTTTATTGTCCGTACAAAGATCAATTGGAGTTGATGAATTCCTATTTTCAATATGTAAAAGGACCTGGCCATTTTGGTCAATAAAGTGTATAATATTATTACCAGTGTCAGATTTAAAAATGTGACACATGCTGTTTGTAGTTACACCATGTGGTGTGAATGGTTTATCTTTGTTAGACTGGAAATTTCCATCATAGTTAAATCTTAACTTGCCTCGTTCGTCAACTATCACTAGCTTGTTTACTGTAGGGTCACTCACTATAATATCAAAGTTTTTGTTTTCTACAATGTAGAACGGATCGCAGTATAAAGGTTTTCCTATATCGTATTCTATTTCTTGTGTTACCTTAGAGTCGGAGAAACGGACAACTTTACTTTTCAAGAAATTAAAAATGGCTTTCATAGCAACAAGAAAGTCACCATTGGAGGTGCAACAGATGGCTTTAGCTGTCCATCCCTGCAGTGGGATCAGATCTGTTTTATCTTTCTTCATAACATTTATATGTTTGGATTTACTCTCAATGTACACTAAATATCCATTTCTGGTGACAGCCAGTTTTACGGGAATTCCTCCAGACTTAGTGGGAATCTCCTGGATTAGATTTTCCTCTCTGTCCATGCGTCTGATGATATTAGTGTCACCACTGATAAAGAATTCATTGGTGTTTGGTATACAAGCAAAGCTATTTATTTTGCCAAAGCCGGTATTTATGGTTCCTATTTCTTTAACATTAGTTTTAATTGTCTTTGGTATGACACCTATTATTCGAAACATTGCCTGTTCTGTAACTTCAACTGGATTAAATTGTGGTACCGTAAGTCTAAAGATGCTCGGAAGATTTCTGAAGTGTTCATTTTTTGAAACGTAATAAATAACTACGGACGAATCACTGGAAACCAGATTTGATTCGTTTTCCTCCATAGCTGACTGAATCAAAGAATGTCGTGACTGAAATTCTGATTTTAAAGCGAACAAAAAGTCAGTATCTTTCATTTCCATCTCTTTTGAAACATGCACATATTTTTCGATGATACTGTCAACAAGCTTGTGACATTTATCGTCAAATTCAGCAATACCTTGCTGTCTTTTTTGATGTTTTTGAACTATATCTGATAACATTGATTCTATTTCAGAAATAGCTGATTCATTTTTCGGTGCAATGTCAGTTTCAAGTTCATTTTTGTCATTTTCGATCATTTCTTTTTTAGATTTGTAAAGTTCGGGAATTTGCTGAACACTGTGATTTTCATGAAATCCCGACAATAGACATTGTTGGCAAACTGGAGAGCTACATGATAGACAAAATTCATATGACAACTTTTGATGATGTTTACACGGTAAAGTAATATCCCCCTTTGTCAGTTCATGAGTAAGAACTTCTTGCTTTATATTAGGGTCAGAGAGCATATGAGGACCTACACAATCTTTACAAAGATTGACGAGACAACTCTTACACAGAATACTAGCTGCAGATTTCCGGTCTTTACCGGGACAAAGTTGGCATCGTATGACGTCTTGTGCTCTAGCTGTTGGATCTTCCGATGTCGCCATTTTTTTTATTTCAATACATGTGAGCAGATCTTTTGAAGTTAAATGAACTGGAAGTATGAAGTGGTACTTTTAGGCTGTTAAAGAAAAACATGTTTATGGTTATTACAAAATACCGTTTCTTTAAAAAGTTGTGGTAATCATTTATAACAATAATTATCAAAATACTTCAATTGAAATATTTTTTTTTGTTTCTTACCCTTGTGATCTGTCATATTTATCATTGAGGCACATTTTTATAAAATGGAAGATCCCAGTAATAGCTTCACAACTTCTTTCGTTTAAATACGCACGTTGATTGATAGCTTCACAGTTTGAATTGTTTAAATATCTCCTTGATTTTATTGTTTTCACAATTTGTTTAATGGTTTTATTCACACGATGAAGTCACGACATTTATTATTACAATTTATTTTAAATCTGATGTCTTTTGTGCATAAATGTATCAATGCATAAAGAAACAATGAATTGAACACACAATCTAATACTAGTATCAATTTTAAAAATCTTCTTTTATATTGACACGTAGAAGAAATGCAACAAGCAGTAACAAAAAAATATTTAAACGTCTATCATTATTCTCTACTCAGGTTATATTTCAACATGAAGACCGATATTACATGAATCATACACAGATGTATTCTGAAGTAGATATTTAAAAGAGAGATGCTGATTTTCTGATTGACAATATCTATGCGGGTTTTTTTTGGACCAGGACCTATGAATACCAATTAAGCTCGGTATAAGTAGACCTATTTTGTATTCATGTGAAGCAGACTATATAATGATAAGATTGATTGATTGTATATTGTTTAACGTACCTCTCGAGAATTTTTCACTCATATGAAGATGTGATGGCCACCACTCAGTGTTATTTAGCAGAGATGGAGCCTTTTTCGTCCCAGCATCTACTGCGTTTTATATGGTCTCAACTGAAGGATCGGACTCCGCCTCCTACAGTGGGATTCGAACTTGCGAAGTAAGAATCAACTCCTCACTTCGCGACTCTAGAGCAGAGGCTCTAACCACTGCACCATGCGGGCGACTGCATGAGAAGAAGAAAACATCTTCTGTGGCCTTGATTTAAACAATATTTGTTCAGCATACCGAATAAATTGAACAACAGACTTAATGTCTATAAATACCCTCTCTTCACAATAGTCCAAGGATACAATACAATGAAAGGAGTGAGTGTATTACGATAAGGGATATTTCCTTGAATAAATGACCATTCTTATTCCCTTGTTAGGTATTGCTATGTTTTTGTGGAGTTGGTCAAAGTCAAGCAACATAAATATCACTATACGGACAAGCTCAAACACATTCAGACACTCTCCCTCACACACACAAGCATATCCTACACGACTAGCACAAATTCTGATCAAAATAAGCAAAATAGAATATTGTATAAATAATATTTGAAGTACAATGAATACATATCATTTGGATTTACTTTACCACTTTTTGCTAATTTAAATAACCTTGTACATAAGAAGAATAATTATTTCCATATATTTCTATATGCCGTATAAAAAGAAATTTTAAGCGAGATGCAAATTTAGCTATTTGTCCTTAAAATATGGTAATTTATTTTACCAATAAGTAATTCAGCGATTTTAAAATGCTCACTTGAGAAAGCTATTACAAATTAAACACTGTTTATTTTTAGCGATATTTAATGTTAGTGATATCAGAACCCTCGCTAATAAAGCCAAAATTAAGTCCTCGCCTAAAATTCTGCTTATACGGTATCCCAGTGATTTTGAAATGAAAGATACTTCAAAGTCAGACACATCTGTTTCATATTTGGATTTTCTACTATAAAGAGACGTTTATGGTGATCTAACAACCAGTCTTTCTGATAAACGTGATGACTTCAACTTTTTAATCACTTTCCTTACCCATACAGCGATATACACTAACATGTTTCACCTACAAACGAGTTTTTGTCTTTCAATTGATTCGGAACATAAGAGGATGCTCTACTTTCGAACATTTTTTAAAACGAGCTAAAGGTTATTCATTAAAGAACAAGTTGACGAAACAAGAGATTAAACAACCTCATTTACAGTCATCTTTTCGTAAGATCTATGGTTGATACAATGACCTTATCAACTAAGCAATTTATTATAAAGGCAAATGTTACTTTAAGTTTTTCATAATACATTTATTGAGTGTTTATCCCTCTGATAAGAGAAAACTTTTCCAAGCAATGCAATAAGCGATCTATTTGAGGATATTTGATAAAAAAAAATATTATTTTAAAAACTTTCATGTCATGCAAAGCCAGATTTAGTTTAATAGCAAATTTTTGTCATCAAATTGATAATCCCTTACATAAGAATAAAGTATTCATGAAACGAATTTTTCTTTTGTCATGACCGGCCTTCATGCCCATAAAGTGCAGAAAAAATAATCTTTTCCAATTTAGAATCAGCAAACCTTTCCATTAAGGATCGACATTACATTTTGTACTACAATAAATGAATTAATTAAAAATAAAAAATAAAAAAACGGTAGTGTTCTTATAAAGGCAATTTAGCCACATATAATCCCCATATGCATTGCCTTTCATATGAGGATCATATGTAGCGAAGTTGTCTGTGTATACTCTATATATAATGAAAAAGTCTCGAACGGAACGTTAAACAATATAAGATCAATCAATCGAATGTAAATACGTGTTAACAAAAGTAGAGTTGCATGCAACTGGTCCTTACTGATACTAACCTTGTTCATGTACTGGAAAAGACAACATGCCATTAACTATAGAATGTATACTGGCCTTTGTTTAAAAAAAAATTACAATATGTCCTATGTTTCTAAGGTTAATATGTTAGATAAATGTACTGAAACATGGACATTAACATATTTATGTATTTTGTATTTATGTGCACATTTGTAAAAAATGACTGCATTTAACAATGAGTTTAGGGTCTTTTCAATCACTTCTATTGCTTCAATATCCTAATCTGATTTCACTTTAAAGGAATTTTGTTAACATAACACCTAATTTATAATATTAGAATGTGATAAAATAATAATATTCAATGTGTAGGTCATTACCTATTTCCAGCTTTACACAAATTTGCACATTTCTGCCCTTGATTGAATATTTTGTACATGCATGAGAGATGGAGCTTACATCGTAAGAATGGGTCTGAATGCCGACTACATTGCAGATAAATAACAATGACATGTCTAAAAAATACGAGATCACTTTTTTACAACCCCTTTTTTCTGTGCGGCACAATTAAGCTTTACTACGTACGGCACAAAAGGTTTACAAGGTTTTCAAAACGAAAATAACATTATGAGCATGTCCATGTGAGTAAATATTATTTTACTTACTGCCCGACAATTTAAAGTGTTGACCTTTCCTGCAATTAAAAGAGAAAACCAGGTTCTGAAGATTGCAATTTCTACATTCCCGTAAAACCCAAAAATCTGGAAACTTTTCAAGGAGAAAACAATGTATTGTCAAATTTCTACCCATGTGAAATTAAGATCTTTGGAGAGTCATTTAGGTCGGCAGAACAAGCCTTTCAAACAGCGAAGGCACTAAGATCAGGTGATGTAGGTGCAGCTGAGCGCATTCGTAACGCTAAAACTGCCCTAGAAGCAAAACGTATCGGCAATCTTGTCCAAAAATCAGATCAATGGAAGGAAACGGAAAAGGGAGTCATGGAACAAATCATCGCAGAAAAGGTAAAACAATGTGAAAAAATGAGAGACGAACTAATCTCCTTTAAGCCGTCTGTGTTCTTTGGACACCCAGTTTATGATCTATACTGGGGAACTGGCCTGTCTTATGAAGAAACAATCAAAACATCACCAACGGCCTGGCCAGGGAAAAGCATGATGGGGGAGATAATTGGTTGCGCCGCTGAAAATCTTAGAAAAAGCAGGAAAAAAGACCAACGGAAACGTTAACGGTAACTGTTTAAGTTAAGATGTATGAACACAAAAAACTCTTATATTTATGTCATCCTTAAAGCTGTTGTCGTTAAATGCCCGAGGGCTTAATGATTATTTTAAAAGACAGACTTTATATGATTGGCTTAATGATACTAATTGCAAAATAGTTTTTGTACAAGAAACTCATTATATAACTGAAAGAGAAAATATTTACAATGCTAGATGGCAAGGTTCAAGCTATCATTGTTTTTCCAACTCATCCCATAGTAGAGGGGTATCTGTATTATTTCATAAAAGTTTACCAATTATTGTTCATAACATACACAAATCAGATGATGGAAGGAGAATTTTAATTAATATTGAGTATGAACAGAACATTATAACTTTAGTAAATATATATGCGCCAAATTCAGAAAATGAAAGATGTAAATTTTTCAAAAAACTTGCTTCATGGGTTTCTCAATATTGTTTAAATGAACAAAACATTATATTAGTTGGGGATTTTAATTCAGTACACAGTGCAAAGAATAAATGTTCAAAAATAATTAATGATTTAAAATTTAGATTTCGATTGATTGACATATGGGACAAAATTAATCCTGAAAAAGAAGGGAATATATGGTGTGATTCAAATAATAAGCCTAAAAGTAGAATTGATTACATATTCACTTCCGAGAATTTATGTTATCCTGTCGAAAAAACATTACTTAGAAAACCTCCAGATGTTTCAAATACTAGAATGAGTGACCATAGGTCTTTTATTTTTTACTGCATTCTCTCAAAAAATGAAAGAGGTAATGGTTTTTGGAAATTGAATACGTCAATTTTACAAGATGTTGAATTTTGTAACATTATCAAAACCTTTTTCGAAAATATGCCTGAAAATATTAATAACCAACCAGATCCACAAATACGTTGGGAAATGATTAAATATGAAATAAAAGAGTTATGCATTGAATATTCAAAAAAGAAAAACAAAAGTATAAACAATCGTATTAAAGTAATAGAAAAGGAAATTGAAGAAATTGAAATGTCTAAGTCAAATGATATAAATATGCTACATAAAAAGCAATTGGAAAAAGAATTAGACAATTTATATACATATAAATCAAAAGGAGCAAGGGTTAGATCCAAAGCGCGTTGGATCGATGACGGTGAAAAAAACACCTCCTATTTTTTAAGACTAGAAAATAAACACCAATCACATATATAATGTCATAAATAAATTATCGGTAGGAGATAAATGTGTATATGAAACAGAAGAAATTTTAAGTACACTTAGTTCATACTATGAAAAACTATACTCATCTAGCAATGTATCAATTAACGATGTAAAAAGATATTTACAAGAAACCGAACTTACTAATTACCTATCTGATATAGATAGAGAAAATTGCGATAAAGTTATAACAATTGAAGAATGTGCAGAAGCTGTTTATAATATGAAATTAAACAAATCACCGGGATTAGACGGAATTCCGTGGAATTTTACAAAATGTTTTGGAAATACGTAAAATTTTATTTTTTATTTATATGAAAGCCTAGTGAAATCATTTGAAAAAGGCGAATTATCTTCTTCACAAAGATCTTCTGTTTTATCACTCATACACAAAAAAGGAAGCTTGATAAATCTCGATAACTATCGTCCTATTAGTTTAACAAATTGTGATTATAAGATTTTAGCTTTCGTATTTGCAAAGAGACTACAAACTATTATGGACAAACTCATTAATGATAATCAAACAGGATATATTAAGGGAAGATTTATCGGTGAAAATGCAAGATTAATACAGGATATATACAATTATTGCGAAGAAAATAATGAGGAAGGAATATTATTGTTTGCTGATTTTCAAAAGGCATTTGATTCAGTTGAATGGACTTTCTTGTTTCAAACTCTTAAAAAATTCAACTTTGGAGAGAATTTCCTTGGATGGATCAAAATTTTATACACTAATCCTTATTTTCATGTTAAAAATAATAACTGGTTAACTAGAAAATGTACAATGTCAAGAGGCATTCGACAAGGGTGTCCCGTCTCAGCATTGCTTTTTCTTTTTGTTATTGAAATCCTGGTGTTAAAAATAAATGCTTCTGAAAATATACAAGGTTTCAAAATAGGACAATCAAGTGAAATAAAATGTTTACAACATGCAGATGACTGCACATTGCCAATGAAAAATCAGGAATCCTTAAAAGAATCTATTAAAGTAATAAAATCCTTTGGGGAAATGTCTGGTACAAAGTTAAATTCAGAAAAAACAGAGGGTATTCTCTTAGGACCGCTTAAAAACACATGGGAAGAGGTAGAAGGAATTAAAATGACAAATAAACCTATTAAATCATTGGGAATTTTCTTAGGACACGACAAAGTATCTAATAATGAAAGAAATTGGCTAAACAAGCTTAAGGAATTTGAAAAAATATTAGATTCATGGAGAACTAGAAATTTAACTTTTTTCGGAAAATGTACCGTTATTAATTCACTAATAGTATCTAAATTAGTATATGCATTCACAGTTCTTGAAAATCCAGATGTTGACTACATTAAGAATTTAAATAAAATTATTTACAATTTTTTATGGAATAAGAGAGAGCGAATTAAGCGGAATTCACTCATAAGACCAGTAAATGAAGGCGGTCTTGGTCTAATTGATATAGAATGCAAACTTAAAAGCGTAAAAGCGGGATGGATCAAAAGACTATATAATAAAAATTCCTCACTTAGAATTTTCCTAGATAACGCTTTAAAATCTTATGGAATAAATTTTGAATATCTGCTACGCAGCAATATAAAAAATCCGACTGATTTCAATATTTTAAATAAATTCCCAGATTTTTATAAAGAAATCTTCTGTAGTTTTAACGAGTGTAAAATGTTAACATCACCACGAAATAAAATAACAGAAAACCTATGGTTTAATAGTTTCATTTCACAAAATAACAAACCATTATACTTAAAAAATTGGGCAAAAAGTGGTATTTTATATGTAAAAGATATGTTTACAACAGAAGGTATGAAAAATGTTATGGAAGTAAAAGAGATCATTGAATCAAAGAGTAATTACTTGTGTGAATATCTTATCATGAAAAAAGCGATTAAAAAACTACATATAGATTATTGTAATGTAAAGAACACTAATATACAAAACCCGTACTTTTATTTTCAACGGAAAAGTATAAACGCAAAATTTGAAAAATCGGGATTTTATCATAAAATTTTTATTTTTAAAAAGAAACAAAAACCAATAATGGAAACTAAATGGTCAAAAGAATTCAATATAATGAATGGTCAATGGAAAGATATCTATACAGCTAAGATACTAAATATTTTTGATAAACAGATAGCAGAATTCAATTTTAAACTTTTACACAACCAACTGAATTGTAATTATCATGTTAGTAAATGGAATAAAGAAGTGGCCAAAAATTGTACATCTTGCGGACAAGTAGAATATATTAAGCACTTAATTTTTGAATGTAGGGACTCAAAAGGAGTATGGGAAAAAATATCTCAAATATTGAATTTAAATCTATCCTGGAAACATATTGTTGTAGGATTTTATAATGAGTTCAATAACACAACATTGATTTTTAATAATGTCATATCAATTGTGGGATACAAAATATATAAATATAAAATGAAATGTAGGTTGCAAAACGAAATAGTAAATCAAAATGCAATGTTACTTTTTTTGAAATCGTCTTTATATCAGTATTATGTAATAGCAAAGAGTGCAAAAAGTGTTAAATCTAACTACTATCTTTTGAAAAAGTTAGCAGACGAATTATAATCTTTATTTTTCTATATACGTTGTAATTAAATTGATATTTTATCTATATATCTATTAAATATGATTTTTTTTTTTTACTGAAATATTTATGTCTTTTTGTGAAAATGAAATATTAGTTCTTCTCTATTGTAAACTTTTGTAAATTGAAAATTGAAAAATATACCGATCCAGGGAGCTCCTGGCACCCCAGGTGAGGTATTAACCGAGGGCTTCTAAGGAAGTTTTGCCTCAAAATTCGTTGTATGTTATTGGAAATAAATGTATAAAAAAAAAAAGAGAGAAAACCTTGCTTGGAAAGATTATTTTGACGAATATTGCATGACCTTTAGTAGTACAGTAATCCTTTAATCAAAACATTATAAATACACATGTCTGGATCTTCTATACATCTATCATTCAAACAGTTTTATTTGGTTAACCTTTCCACTCCGGAGTTCTGAAACGAACAAATTTTCATCACTGTCCAGACTTAGATCATACGGTTCATGTAATTCACAATTTGAAATGTACAAGAGGAAGTAGCCATTTCTATCGATGACATGTATAACATGTTTACCGTGGTCAGCAATGAAAATGTGGCACATGCTGTCTGTAGCTATGCCAAATGGCAGGAATTGTTCATGCTTAATTGATTGCTGATGCCCCTTGTAATCAAATTTTAACTTGCCCATGTTGTCCACCACAACCACTTGGCCTGGAATGGAATCACTCACTACAATGTCAAGGTTTTTGTTTTCTGCAATAAACATAGGACTATGATATATTGATTCATCCCCATTGATGCATTGTATTTCTTGTATTACTGTAGAATCTCTGTAACGTACTACTTTGCATGGCTCAGGGCTTTCGAGAGTATGTCCATGTTTCATAGCAACAAGTAAGTCGCCTTTTGAGGTGCAGCAGATGGCTAATGGTATCCAAATTTTGAGTGCGATCAAACATTGTGCGCCGTTCCTTTTTATTACATTAATGCACTTATTCTTTGTATCATTGCATACTAAATCCCCCTCCCTGGTAACTGCCAAATCTCTATATTCGGAATAGATCGTCTCTAAAATATCTCCTTCAGTGTTCATATGATAGATGGTTTCACTTTTACATGTCACGTAAAATTCGTTTGTGTTTGGGATACACTCTATTCTGTAAGTTAGGCCGTCATCAGGATTTAGAGTAACTGTACTTATAATTTGAGGTTCGTTAATGAAATTCCTGCTTATTTTTCTTGAATGTGCCAAGGGTTGAGCAACTCTAATAACTTTTCCTTGAATGTTAATTTTCATTGTCTCTGGAATTATACCAGTCATTTTACAAAGTACTTCTTCCGTAATCTCGGCTGGAATAAATTGTGGTACTGTAAGTTCGAATCTGGGTGGTATATGTTTGAAGTCTTCATTTCTGGATTTATAATGGATAAGTTTGGATGAATCCACAGAAGATAGAATGGATTTATTATCGTCTATAGCTGACTGTATTAAGGATTGTAGTCTCTGGAATTCGCCTTTTAATGTCAACAAATTGTCATTATCTTGACTATACTTTTCTTTCGAAACATTTAGATATCTTCTGATGACATTTTCTACAAGTTTATGAAACTGTTCACGAAGATTAGTAATGGACTTATGCCTATCTTCATGCTGTTGTAAAACATTTGATGTCATTGTTTCTATTTCAGATAGAACTGCTTCATACACTGGTTTGATTTCGGTTTCTAGTTCTCCATTGTCTTTTGTAATTACATCTCGTCTGGATTTATATATTTCAGAAATTGACTGGACATTGTGATTTTCATGTGCTCCAGAAGTGAGGCATTTCAGGCAAATTAGAGAATTGCACAATTGACAAAACATTTCACATTTTTCTTCTTCATGTAAGCTACACTGGTGATGCATGATCTCATGATTTTTGAATTCACAGTTGACAAAATCATGTTTCATGTCAGGATCAGATATAACATGGTTACCTACACAGACCTTACATAGGTTAACTTGACAGGAGTTGCAACAAGTTTCAGCAGCAGATTTTTTGTCTTTTCCAGGACAAAGTTGACACTGTTTTACATCTTGTGCTTGGCCTAACGGATCGTTGGATGTTGCCATGGTACTTCACTACGGTTTATTTTTAAATCTACAATGTATATAAAATATTTGCTATAGGAATTCAGTCTTATCACAGATGGGAAAACTTTCATTAAGTAGTATCTTAAATGATATTCCTCTGTTTTTTTAAACCGTATCTCAAACATGGCACTACGTTTGCACTTTAACGACCTCACTTATATACTGATTATGTATTTGAAATAATTCAAATGCACAACTTGAAGCCTTTAAATTTCTATAACAGTTAAAATACATACACTAAATAACGGAAACCTATAGAAAATACACACGAAGTACTGATTTATATTTTGAAGTGGAACATGTAAGTCTCACAGAGTATTAATTAATAAATATTCCCTAAACTAGAATGGACATTATACATATATCACATGGCTTCGAGGGTGACATACCAGAATATTTGCCCCGAGGTGACAGGAAAGCCCTGGAGTGTTATGTCACCCGATGCCGAAGGCAGAGGGTGACATATCACTCCAGGGCTTTCCTATCAACGAGGGGCAAATATTCTCGTATAGTCGCCCGAGAAGCTATGTGGTATATGTTATATGACATTTTTAAAACAAAAAAAAATATTAAATCATTTTTTAAAAATCGTTGAAATTTTCACAAATAATCCAGAAATGCTTTCTTGACGTTAAGAATAACGCTCCATTGTTTACATTTGCTTAGCAACCGACGTCATAACATCTCGAACCCGAGCTAAAATGCGTAACGTAACAACACATGAACGTGATCGAAAGGATGACATAACCGTTTCCGGCGAGGGTTGACATAACTGTTTCTGGCCGGACATAACTGTTTCCGGTGTGACTCGGCATTTTTCAGGGTTTATAGCGAAACTTATTATATTTGTGATATAATAGAAAAACTTATTCAAAAATGTTATATATAATTATGACCTCGAAAAAATCAAATTTGATTCAATAGAAAACTAATATGTAGGAAAAATAGCTGTGCTAAATTTAATCAATGCCAAAGTATGTATTATTAGACAGGTTAAGACAATTAAAAAAGATGTTAATAAAAAGTAATCCAGTATTAACTATCAATGTAAATAGTATTATAACATGATTGATAAAGTCAGACACCCTCTGACTACATAAAGAAAAAGAAAGAAATTCATAAAGTATTATCTTAAATGATATTCTTCTGTGTTCTTACCGTCGATTGTTATTTTACCGCTTCTCAAACATGGCCCCACATTCGCATTAGGGTCTCATTTGTATATTTAGGCATCGGGAATAATTTGTCACAGCTTAAACCTCTAAATTTCCAATTCATTTAGTTACAAACAATACACTAAATCAATGGACGGCTGCCTCTAAATTAAACACACAATGATTTTAAAAAAAATTATTCAAATGTGTGCCATTTAAACTTCACAAAACATAAGACAGTGTATTCAGGTTTTTCAGACCTCATGAGAGTAATTGATAAGACACCATTTGATATTTTCCAACCAGAGTCCACTTATTTGTACGCAAAAACAACTATGATAAAACTAATCAGAGCCTTAATTAGTATAAAGTAAGAAATCAGGTTGATTCTGATAGGTATATTTCTGATATCAGTTGATGAAATTTATGCATACAAGATTTGAATATAGGTTTAGAAAAAAGTTACCATACAATCTCAATTATCAATGTATTATATGGTAGATGTATTGCGTCAATATAAACATGATAGTTTTTGTCCCATTATTGCGAAAGTTATAGCTGAATAAAAATGATCCATATGGATGTTTGTTATTACAGACGTCGAAATGCATTTGAATCATATATGAATAATCATCGGATATCATTCTAAAAGAAAGGGAAAGCAAAAACTACAAGAAATAATACATGACGTGGGCGACCAATATACGGCGACTTAAGTGGAAGGTTTTTACAACGATTGGTTTTGTAGACCTTTGCTTTATCAGTCCGAATTTTCTCAAGCTACAGTTCTGCAGTTAGGCAATATTCATACGTTTCCTTCGTTTGAGATGAAGATAGCTCTTAGGTTCATACCAATTTTCTTTATTTTCCATTGATGTAATACTAAAAATATGATTTTTGTTGAGTCCACATTAAAATCATATCTCGCTTCACCTTTATTTATCACGCTATTATAAACTGTACCATATGACTGTCTGTTATTATAGACGTCAAAATGCATTTGAATCTTATATGAATAATAATCGGATACTATTCTAAAAGCAAGGATATGCAAAAACTTCAAGAAAGAATATATGACTTGGGCGACAATAAAGGCGATTTAAATGGAATGTTTAACAACGCTTGGTTTTGTAGTTATTTGCTTTATCAGTCGTTACGTTTCCTTTGAGATGAATAAACTCTTACTTTCATACCTTTTTTTCTTTATTTGTCATTGATGTGTTACAATAAATATGTTTTTTGTTGAGCCCTCCTTAAAATTAAATCTTTAGGTAGGATTCTTCTCATATTTCTTGTATTTAAAAATTTATGAAATTTTCACAGCATCAATAAGACAATATCACCAAGTGATGGTATCCAAGAGATTGAATTTGACCGTTTTAATAGAGGCAAGGTCAGGTCAAGGTCATTACCTTTTTCCCGGACATTAATAATTAAAAAAAAATACTGTTGCCAATTATGCGATTCCTACTTGTATTTCTAAAGATTGAATATTTTTCTTTTTTCTTAAAATGATACTACCATAGATGACCTATAACATGATATTACCAAATCAAAAAAATTTACTAAAATGGATATTGGGTAATCTACTTTTCTTAAATTAATAGGCTATACTAGTATTAGTTATTTTTATATGCTTCCTATCTTTAATTTTTTTTCCCATTTTCACATATACATGTAGTAAAGTTATCACAATAAGATACAAAACTAGAGCCGAGCTCGTTGCAAAGCAACGAGTAGGTCTTCCGTCCTGTTTGACCGGAAGTTCCAGCTTTTGTGGTCTCTGAGACTTTATCCGGAAACGAAAGCCTATGATTTTCCTTTAAAGGGGAATAACTCAAAACCGGAAGTGAATTTTTGAAATTTTCATAATTCTGATAGAGTTTATAAACGTCTATAACTTCTGAAAATTTGAGCGAAATCCGTTGAGAAATGAGTGAGATATGAGGCCTCAAAGTTGGCGTTTAGGAAGTAGAAGAAAAAAAAAAGAATAACTAGAGCCGAGCTCGTTGCAAAACAACGAGTAGGTCTTCCGTCCTGTTTGACCGGGAGTAACTTTCATTTTAAAACAAAAACTGAGTAATGAAGTCCAAAAATGGGTTAATCCTCCAAATCTATGTTAATTATTGCAAACTTAAGCCATTCTTTGGTACTTCCGGTTTTACCGGAAGTGACGATGACGGACAGAAAATTAATATTTAAGCTCCTAGTGACACATGTTACCAAAAAAAACCTGTCAAAAACGGCAAAAATATGCATTTTCTGACTACTTCCGGCTGGACCGGAAGTGACGTCGCCGGACGTAGTTTGACGACCCCATTATATAAAGCTTGATATTTTGAACAACTTTGCTTCTTTAATGTATAACAAATTCTCAATACTTTTTGAGATATCTGGAAAAAACTTTTGGTCCCTCTAGATCCCTTAATTTAGGGGTCAGCCCTTTTTTCGACATATCAATCGAAAAATCTTTTAATTCTGCACAAATTCTGTTCTATATATTTTAACAAAATATTTTTAGTTTAGAAGATAAAAAGCAAAATATGCGTAATTTTTGGCTCTTTTAAGCGTTCTAATTTTTGACCCCTATATAGCGCCATTTTGAATAGAGAAATCGAAAAACAAAAACCGATGTGCACAACTTTAATCCTTCTATTATCTAAAATCAGTAGAATTTCTGCTCCAGATTTAGCCGTCTCTGAGCCTTTGTCCGGAAACGAAAGCCTATAAATTTTCCTTTAAAGGGAAATAACTCAAAACTGGAAGTGGCTTTTTGAAATTTTAGGCAAAATTCTGATAAGGTTTATTAACGTCTATAACCTCTGAAAATTTGAGCGAAATCCGTTGAGAAATGAGCGAGATATGAGGCCTCAAAGTTGCGGTCTAGGAAGCAGAAGAAAAAAAAGAATAACTAGAAAGTCTGCTATTGCAAGCAATAGCATATGTCGCCCCGTACTGGACAAAACTTTCATTTTTATCATCACTTAAACAAGGGTCCATTAGCTAAGCTTAAGCTTGGACAACCATCGAGTCGTATCAGTCCTTTCCGTTGGAAACGGAAGACCTTAATTGGGTACATCCCACTAATTATTTTTAGAATCGGTAGGAGAAGAAAGTAGTGCAGGAAAAAATTACAAGTTCCTAAATTTGCAGACTTGCATAAAAGAAATTGGTCAGATGTACTGAACTGAGCCTCATACTTGTTAATTGGCAGTAGCTTTCCTACCAAAAAAGCTTAGCAATTGTAATTTATTTCATAAACATCAGCCGAATTATTTTGTGTATAATAGCGCCAGTGAGAACTCTGAAATTTCCTTACTTTCACTTTCATTTTTAGAGGTTCTGCCGGAAAACGAATCTGACCTGACACCTTCAATTCCAGCATTTCTGCATTGCACAGAGCTGATGTTTGTTATGAGATGATAAATCATGTGTAAACTTTTCAGTTTAGCGGAATCATGAACATTTTCGTTTGAATGTTTTGTTTACAGTAGTGATCAAGGCTTTGCGCACCTGTAGGCGTGGATCCAAGGATTTATGAATGAATAAAAAGTAAAATAACGTAAATTTTTCTATTTTATACTTGCACTATCTAATTAAATTAATAATATAAAATTAATAGATATGCATTTAAAAAAAAAAAAAAAAAAAACGCGAAATGCTAATAAATGCAGCTGACAATCGTTATTTTTTTATAGCAAAATAAACTAATTATAAAATCTAGAGAAGGACAGAAGAAGAATGAAGGTTTTTAAACTATCAAATTACATCAGGAGAACTGAATTTTATGAATGAAACTTTTAAAACGAGTAAGGTGTATATGTTATATCTGTGTATTCTACCTGGCAGTGCGCTTCAAAAAGGGGGGGGGGTTCGTCTTGAACATAGTACCTAATGTTTGAACGGTAAGAGCTAGGGCTTTCGTATTTCAAATATGCAATCCTTGTGAAAAGAACTTTTATTGGACACGAAGAACTTTGACCCTTTGACCTAGACCTTGGAGAACACATGTGTACATCTTAACCTTTTTTTCTGTTTCGTTTCTATGACAACTGTGAGCGACTCATTTCAATTATTTTAAAAGTAGAAATCACTTTGACACATTGCAAGGAAGTAACATTGAAAGTTTCAAAACGATTGCTTGAGTAGTTATTGAGAAAATCGAAATTATTTTCATTCCCCTGGTTTCCATGGCAATAATCGATTATTTGAAAATTTTAAATGCAAAGCGCACAACTATAGATACTAATCATTAAAATAAAAAGAGTTTCATGACGAACGTTTAAGGGACCAGAGAGAACACTCGCGGACAAAATTCGTCGCTTTTTACAGGTTTCCATGGCAACGGTAGACATATTGGAACTGAACGACCTCACTGCACAACTACAACCAGTGATCGTCCTTTGGGGAAAATTTCAGAAACAGCCATCTCCGAAAACAGCCTGGATAAAAAAAACATGAAAATCTTATGTCAGTCCCCGATTTTTATTTCTTTACCAACAGAATCAGACAAGGTCTTCTGTTGGAAAAATTTGATAAAAAAAAATAGTTTTTATCGTGTACTAAGAAAGTCATAAACCAGAAAAGAATCCTACCTTAAGACACCTTTATTTATCAAGCTATAAAAGAAGGGTAATTTTGTAAATCTATTTCATAAACATCTGGATCAAAATCTTTATATTGGTACCTGATTAAACATAACCTCTTTATTAAAGATAAGACAACATTGGGTAGAGGAATAGAAGATGTCATTTTTTTGTAAAGTAAATGACAGAATAATCAAACAAGTTATAAACACAAATAAGAGAAATCAAAACATAGTAAACATACTTCTCAAACAATTAAGACAAAGAAAAACTCTATAAACATATTTCTCAAACAATTATACAATATTTATTGAAAACGTAATGTACATGATAAAAGTATTTCTCAAAGGAGGGTTTGTTATTCTTACATAATATACAGAATGCGATTGAAAAGATGGGACAAATGTCCTTGCCAACAATACTTCTTTGGGGATTTAGTCATTGAGTCAAATTATTTAATATCAATCCAAGTGTATTTCAGTACGTAAAATTACCAAACAACTTACTTATTTTCTTGGGGAATTCCTCCGAGAACTAATAAAATTGCGACTGACACTAGAAACTGTGCTTGCAAAACAAAAAGAAAAAAACGCATAAGACTGTTCTATTTAAAGAAGATGTGCCAAGAAAAGGTGCCATATACAAAACAGATCAATACCCATGAATATCTTATTATCATAAACATGTTTATTCAAACAGCTTTATTTTCTTAACCTTTCCAGTCCCGAGCTCAGCAACAAACAAATTATCATTGCTATCTATACTAAGGTCATATGGTTCTTGTAATTGACAGTTTGAAATATACAGGAGAAAGTATCCGTTCCGATCGATGATATGTATAACATGTTCACTTAGGTCAGCAATCAAAATGTGACACAAGCTATCTGTGGTTATACCACACGGCGTGAATTTCGATTTTGATGGAAAATTTCCTTTGTATTTAAATCTTAACTTGCCCATCTTATCCACTACGACCACCTGGTCTGGAACGGAATCACTCACCACTATATCAAAGTTTTTGTTTTCTTCGATAAACCTTGGACTACCATATAAAAATTCGTCTCCGTTAACGTATTGTATTTCTTGCACGGCTGAAGAGCCACTGTAACGGACTACTTTACAATGCCCGTGGTCATTATATGGATATGCCGATCTCATAGCAACCAGTAATTCACCTGTGGAGGTAAAGCAAATCGCTAATGGATTCCAATTATGAAGTGAAATTAAACTCTGTTCTTTGTTGCTCTTTCTTAATATTATACATTGAATCCAGCTATTGATATATACTAAATATTTTTCTTTTGTTACTGCCAAGTCTAATGGCATTTTTCTGGGCCCAGAATAGATAGAATCCAATATTTTACCCTCTATGTTCATATGATAGATGGCTTGGCTTTCACAAAAGATAAAAAATTCGTTTGTGTTTGGAATACACTCTATTCTGTAATTTTTACCATTACCAAGGGTTATGGTTCTTATTACTTGAGGTTCGTCAATGAAATTCTTGTCTGGTTTTCTGGAATGTACTTGTACTATGGGTTGAACAACTCTAATTACTTCTCCTTGAATGTTAGATTTAATTGTCTCTGGAATTTCACCAATCATTTTAAACAGTACTTGTTCTGTAATCTCAACTGGGGTAAAATTTGGAACTGTTAGTTCAAACGTTGGTGGTATATTGATAAAGTCTTCATTTCTGGAAATATAATGGATAAGTTTGGATGAATCCATGGAAAATAGAATGGATTTGTTTTCGTCTATAGCTGACTGTATTAAGGATTGTAGCCTCTGGAACTCGCTTTTTAACGTCAACAAGTTTTTATTATCTTGACTGTATCTTTCTTTCAAAACATTCGCATATCTTCTGATGACATTTTCTACAAGCCTATGACATTTTTCACCAAGATTTTTTATTGATTGAGTTCTATCTTCATGTTGTTGGAGGACATTTGATGTCATTGTTTCTATTTCAGATAAAATTGCATCATACACCGGTGCGATTTCAGTTTCAAGTTCTAGATTGTCTTTTGTAATTTTGTCCTGTCTGGACTTGTATATTTCAGAAATTGACTGGACATTGTGACTTTTATGTGCTCCAGAGTTGAGGCATTTCAGACAGAATGGAGAATCGCACTGTTCACAAAATTTGTCACATTTTTCTTCGTCATGGAAGCTACACTGGGGTGGTATGACTTCAGATTTTTTAAATTTGAAAGTGACAACATCGTGTTTCATGTCAGGATCAGATATAACATGGTTTCCTACACAGATTTTACATAGGTTAACTTGACAGGAATTGCAACAAGTTTCAGCAGCAGATTTTCTGTCTTTTCCAGGACAAAGCTGACACCGTTTTACATCTTGTACTTGGCCTAACGGATCATTGAATGTTGCCATGATACTTCAAAACTGGTTATCTTGAATTCTACAATGTAAATACTTCTTAGAGGAATAAAATCTCAAAACAGATAGAAATACAGGTTTCATTATGTATTATATTATATGATATTCCGATATTTACTTACCGTCGATTAAGTTATTTTGCCGTCTCTCAAACATGGCACCACATTTGTACTTTAAGCACAACAAGGATCTCAGATTATGCTCGAAGGCTTTAAATTTACAAACAATACACCATACGACTATAGAAAAACACAAAAGCCAAAATTAGCAGTGGTAAATTAAATCAATGCCTTAACATGAACTTTGCTATAAAACATTGGTTTAGGCAGGTATTCATCTGATATCTGTCAATATTACAAAGAAAACCAGAAAAGATATTCTGAAAAAGAAAATGTTTTTACAAAAGACAAATCAGAGTAAATGTGTGAGAAAGTCTTATATATTTTGATGACTGTGCCGAGTTTGCACTTCGTGGATTTAGCTCTTTAATACTTTCTGAGTCTTCTGAAAATAAAATTTGAGTAGTGCTTAAGAAAAGAGTGATCAAAAAGTAATTATCATCTATGAATTTAAATATAGCACGATTCTTTAAGTCAAACACTCTTTAAGGTTATCCAAAACTTTGATGTATTAGAATAAATCTGAGGGGAAAAGTTAATAGTATATGTGAAGAAGAAGAAGAAGAAGAAGAAGAAGAAGAAATTTAACACGAGCTTTGAAAATTCCAAAGGAAAAACGCCGAGTATCTATTTTTTAGTAAGAAAAACCATCCTATGTGAGTGATAACGCACATTAGGCCCAATCAATCAGGTTGACAGAAAATTATTTTTTTCTCAGTACAAAAACAAAAACTTACGATTGGTATGAAATATGATTTAAACAAGTTAGCAAAATGCAGCGCAATAAAAGTTTATACATGTATTTTCTACAAAGAAAAGTCATCATATAACGAACAGTTAATTAATACGAACTGATGATTTTGAACGACGCTATTTAGCTGTTGAAATATCTGTTATTTCAAGCACTAGATACAGTACTAATGCTGTATATAAAATTCAAATTGTTTTACCCCTGACAAAGTGTTTGGAACCTTTCATATATCAGTGTTCTGCAAATTATAAAACACTAGGGGTTCAAGGTAGCTCTTATCAGATTTAGTGAGAGTACAGAGGTATAAGGTAAATTATTCACGGACATGGTAAACAGAAAAGTTATGTTGGGTTTTACTTTTCGTCACCCTTCAATATCTATGGAAATAAACTTCAATCTCCTTTGAATCCATTTAAACTTAAATAAGTTTATCTTTATGACATTATTTTCTGCAGTCATTTAAGAAATAAGATATGATTTTTAGAGTTTCATTGGAGTATGAGATGAAGTCGGTCACGTGATCAAATTCTATAACGCCCGAAGGACTTACTTTTATTCGTTTATCTCAATATTCACAATTATAAACAATTTATTTATTTCATAAATGTGGCGTTCTGGGTTTCTCAAAGACATACCAAAGGGTTTATTCCTTTTTATGTATTATCTGTAAATACAATTGTCAGGTGAATTTCCTGACGAAAAACACATCTCTTCATGGGTATTTTTACATTTACGTACAAGAAAACCTTTTGACCATTTAAATGCCTAAGAGATGCAGCCCGATCTTCATAATTAGAAAAACGTGAGCCAGTATTTGGCATATTGTAAAATTAAATACATTGTATCCGAAAACTCCCTAATCTTTAAATGAAATATAAAATTTCTACCCGTAACATTTACTCAGTTTCTTTGCATTTGCGTTGATAACAAAAAGAATAGAAAAACAAGAGGCCAGGGGCCAAATCGCTCACCTGACCAAATCATCTAGGAAAAAAACAAATCAGATCAGAACTGAAAAGTTTACTGAAAGGGGTGGGGGGGGGGCTTGAATTTAATACTACTTTAGAATGCCTTCATATTAATACAGCATATGACTTTTTTATGGCCCTGAGTGCCGAGTATAGGTCTAAATTTGAAGCCCTTCATCGGCATATGGTGACGTCACCATATGAGTGAAAAATTCTCGAGAGGGACGTTAAACAATATACAAGCAATCAATCTGAGTCTCATTTAATTATTTTTGGATTCCATAATCTATAGATTGTGCAAGTGATTAATCTTAATGCTGATCTAATCAGGATATCCTTGATAAAAATAACAATAAATCCCAGTTCAATGATGATTAATTTACCTTCGTATCGTCCTGTCTGGACTGTACACCAATCAATTACTAGTTGATGAATAAATAATTAGATAAACAAATAAACAAATTATTACAAAGATTCTGAGATAAATTCAAATAATCATTTGCATTAATAACCATCTTAGTCCTTTTAGTAAAATTTTAGAGAAACGTTTGTGATTAAATCTTCTAACGAACTCTTCTAGTTTACAATGATCATATCATTCAACCCCTCTAGTCCAGTTCCCAGAATTTGTTTTAACTTGTTATTTTTTTCTCATATAAAATCTTTCTTCAAGTCATATCCGCCGTTGCGTGTAATCAAGAATTGGGGTATGCTGAATTGCTTTTTAACTTTTAAAACACACACTACATGTACGAGTATGAACACAATTATATTGTTTTCGTCTTTTATTTAAATTAAAAATACAGAGAATAAAAAGTAACAAAGAATTCTTTTCTATTCTTTATACTTATTGCGAATTTACACTATCTACCTAAGAGTAAAAAAGAGAACGCTTTATGATCGTATGAACTTCTTTTGCAGTTTGCAGTGTGGTTGTTATTTCATTCCTCTGTCCAACAGCGCCATACACGGACGAATGTGGCAACTTTGGAGTTCTATGGAACTGTAGTGGACTTAATGCAGACAGAATCCCCGAAAAAATACCACAAAAGTTACGAAACCGCTATGTGATTTTGGATTTGTCATTTAATAGATTTTCTATTTTAACAGAAATGACGTTTAAAAATCTTGCTGGGTTTTCAGTTGTGTCATCCATAATCCTTAATCATAACAAAATTACAAACATCGAAAATAAGACCTTCCATAGACTTTCTAGTTTATGCAGTCTAGATCTTTCAAGTTGTGAGCTTGTTAAAAACGGAATAGAAGTTGAAGCTTTCTCCTATATACACAACCTAAAGTTCCTTCGACTTGATCAAAATAATTTCCAGTCAGATGGATACCCGGATGTTGCCCTTTCTGCAATTCAGTCATTATCGAGTCTTCATATCGACATTTTCAACGAATTTTTATTTACAGCACCATTTGAAAACTTAACAAACTTATCTGAATTACACTTTCATATTTTGAATGATTTAAGCTTGACAAATACATCATTTTTAGGACTCCGGCGCTCCAAAATTTATCGCCTTGATATGTTTTTTCATGGTCACGTATTTTGTGACGTCAATGAAGATCTATTTTGTTCCTTTCCATATTTAACGGAAGAGGTAACTATTGACTTTGGTGGAAAGTGTGACATTACTCCGGCCTTGCGCTCACTAAAATGTTTCCAGCATCACAATATTGGAAAAATTGTTATGGATCAAAACACTAAAGATCTTGAAACAGGTATCATAGTTTTAGATGATTGGTTGTCAGAATATCTTATCAATGTCTGTACCAGTACTTTATCTTTGGTTGGCAATGGCATTAACTATATCAATTTTCATATTGACAATACAACTTTTTTGAATTGCCTACAGTATATAGATTTAAGAAGAAATCATTTGCATGGTGTGGATATGTCATACTTCCTTACTGTGTTATCAGCTCCAAAAATTAAGAATATAAATGTGTGTTGCAATGGCCCACAACCCTTGGAAAACCAGTTGAGTATCTATAAATATAATAGATCAATAATCTCTATAAATATAACACTGTCGAAAAATCTTGAACTTCTAGACATTTCGAGAAATTATATACATAACGTAAAAAGATGGACACCTAGTTTCAAACTTATCGGTGTAAGATTACAAGAATTGTACATTCAAGAAACAAATTTTTTCCTGGCATACGTCGACCAATTTCTCAACATATCGGGTAATAGCTTTGAAAAAGTACACTCAGATTTATTTCAGCATTCTCGAGGAATTCAGAGCTTATATGCGATTGGCATGAATCTAAATTTCACAGAAAAATCAAATTCGAAAAATATATTCAGAAATCTAAAAAATCTTTCTTCAATCGATTTTTCAAGAAACAAATTGAATTATTTACCTTTCTCTCTTTTGAAAGACCAGCATCATTCTTTAATAAAAATAAACCTAGACAATAACAAATTTTCAAACATTCCTGACACCTTCGAATATATGCAGAATTTGAAATATCTGCATTTGCGATACAATTTGATATCGGAGTTCTCAAATAATGACCAAAATATCATTAAAACATTTATTGCAATATCAATTTTTATAGAAGGCAATCCGATTTCTTGTACCTGTTCAGCTATTCAGTCTTTGAGATGGATGAGAAGTCACAAACATGTATTTTCTGATATTGATAAAACGTTATGCGCAGGAAACCGAGTACCTGTCAACCACTTATTTGATAATGAACCAATCTGGAAAAAATTCGATAAAGAATGCCAAACTAAACAATGGCTTATTTTCTCTGTGGTGTTGATTTTGATTACTTTGTCTGTACTTATTATAGTAACTGCTTTACGAAGATACCGTATACACGTGGAATATGTTATACTGCGACTTAAAAACAGATGGAAGGGTGTTCATTTACAGAACAAAGAAAACAACTACATTTATGATGTATTTGTGTCTTATTCTGAAGAAGACTCTATGTGGATTGTTCATTCTTTGTACCAAAAATTAAAAAGTTTGAACATCAAGGCGTGGCTTAAGGATAAAGATTCAACTCCAGGAAAATGGGAGGCAGAAGAAATAGTGAAATGTATAAATGAAAGTCGAAAAGTGTTGTTTGTGATCACCGAATGTTTTCTGGAGAGTGGTTGGGCCTCATACGCCGTCCAGATGGCGGTCACTCACGCCTTCCACAACCAGCGTCAGAGTTCCATTGTTGTCATCATCAAAGATGATATACCGTTAGAGAGACTCCCGAACGATATCAAAAATATATTTTGGTGTATTGAGTATTTGAGGTGGCCTACAGAACGTGAAAGCGATGATTTAATAATGGTGGAGTTATCTAGTTTGCTTAAACCTATTGATGTGTAAATACAAAAATTGGATATGTAGAATAATTATATTAATACTTATATTAAAAATGTACATTTAGATGTATAACAAATTACTTTAGTTAATGTTAATTATTATATTAATTATTATACTGAAATTAATGGATATTCACTGTGCTATTCAAAATATATGCTCGATGCAATTTTACCCAAGAAGTTCTATCGTCCAATTTCTGTTACATGCATTTTTTCTTCCTTAGATATTTTTTTTAACTATTTATTTTGTATATCATTTGTAGAAAAGACGGACTTTGAAAAAAAATTAATTATTGTTAATGATAAAACGGTTATGATGATGGTATGATGTCAATGGTTTCAAACTTTCTTCTTTGTCTCAACAATTAATTAAAGTGTCAAATATCCTATTCTTTTAAAAGTATTTTCAAACATTACAAACATAAAATATAAAATATGAGGTTTAAAAATACTTTGGAATTCGATTTCAATTTTTTCTTCAATGCTGTTCATATAAATAGACAAAATATGAACATCATACTCTACGCTATATTTTTAATAAAACATATTACCAGGCTGTGTTGAATATTTGCATTTATATATAAATTTAGAGATGATAACATTAGTATAAAAACAGTGATGCCCCTGTATCCCTTAATTTAAAGAGACACCATCTCGGAAGAAAGAGAAAATTGAAAAAAATAGAAGACTTTTTTTTGCATGACGCTTGCAAATTAAGTTAATTTCTTGAAGATTGTTTGATTCTATATTGTGTAACGTCCCTCTCGAGAATTTTTCACTCACATGGAGGCGTCACCACTTGCCGGTAGAGAACTGCAAATTTTGTCCTATACTCGGCACTTGGGCCCTTGGGAATGGATGGATCTTTTTTGTGCCAGCACCTACTGCGACACGGAACCTCGGTTTATACGGTCTCATCCGAGAGTTCAGTCTCCACGTCCCACAGTAGGATTCGAACCCGCGTTGTAATGATCGACTCCTTACTTTGCGACTCTAGAGCAGACACTCTAACCACTGTGCCACACGGGCGACTCAATTTTTGAAGATATATTAGGTTTCAGAAAATAATAGGTTTCAGAAAATTACAGGGTTCAGAACCTCAAAAATGTACTTTAATGGAAAATATTTGGCAAACATATACTCTTCAGAAAAAGAAACGCATTGTAGGAACAATGCCCTGAAAATTTTCGATAGTTTTGTCATACCTTTTATTTTTGTATGAATACGATGTATTCGAGTGAAATGAAAGATTTTTTAATGCAATTGTTAACTTTACAGCTATTTTACAAGTTTTACAGATAAAAAGACCTGATTTTGCAAAATTTTCCCCAAAATTTTTAATCTCAATTTTCATTTGTTGAATTACAATGCAATTCCTTCAGGTATAAAGGGGCTATCAAAAGCGGGGGTTCTCGATATTTTGAATCTGGTTTTATCTGAAAAATGACGCTTCCTTAAATTGCTGCATCTGAATGTTGCGTGGCACAAAAAGGAAAATGGGCGACTTGAAGCAGGGGTACCGCAATCTACAGTTGCAAGATGTTTTAATGTTACACATAGACCATATCTAACCTATAAAACATAAACCATTAACATTGAACACCCAATGTTCGCAAAAAATATGGTACACAACGTGTGACATCAGCAGCACAGCATCACTTCCGAGGATTACGCAAATTGCATGAATGTAATGCAAGGACGCATTAGCTATCCCTGAACTGCACACATCATCTAACAAGACCGTTTTCAGTTGACTACGAATTATTGCAAAAGGATTATTCATGCCGTTGTTCCGACCCCACAACACCCCAAATATCGACTTCAAAGATCTCAGATGAATAGAATATGACGACAGCATCACTGCTGAACATTTTGGTTAACCTACTAGTCCAGAATGTTTATCTGAAAGCCTCTTATAAGTTTAAGAGTGCTAATGCTTTGTAATGAAAGTTAGATATATAACTGCCTCCAGGACGTTAAAAAAGTTGGTGGTGGTAGTGTAATGATATGGAAAATGGTATTATAAGAAAGTAAGATTGATTTGGATCAAATTCAATGGACTTTGATGGAAAAAGGTACTCTAACCATGTCCTACCTACACATACCCATTCAATTTTGCAGCATCCTAGAGCCGTATTGTAATCTCACAATACACAGCCACATATGGCTCGTTTGACACATCTATTCTTGCAAAGAAACAACAACCTGTTTTAGTCACAGTCATCTAAATCGCTAGATTTAATCCAAATTAAGCAGCATTGGACAAAATTGATTTACATGATTTGTCAAAGACAATCGCATCCCCAGACTCTGCAACAGCTGAGTAAAGGTCTACATTTGGAGTGGGAGAGTATTCCTATGCAGTTTTTATTACACACATTTGCTTCCATTAGATGCCGTTTGTCGCTATCATTTGTGTCTGCGGGGGGCATACCAGATATTGATCTTTAATGGTCTTAAACTGACAATGATTTTAAAATTGTTGAGTAATTATGACATTTAGATAGTATTCCTGTTGCTTACCACATTTCTGTTTTATCAATGCATCATTTTACTAAATAATCTTTATGTTCAATGTGTCGCTAAAATTCCACGATGCGTTTCTTTTTCTGAAGAGTATATTTTAATATAACTTTATAAAAATATTGCTACACATCCTTCTCCTAATTGGAGGCATGCCTTGAAAGCCATGATGTCAATTGCATAGAAATATTAGTATTGGATGACTGTGAATTTTGATACGATCTTCGAAAAGCTGATCAGAACGTATTCCCCACTTCTGCTCGCTCCAATTGACTGATGGTTACAAGTTAAAATAAAGAGGTCGTGAACTGTAAAATGTTGACATTGGCGATAAAAACTTACGCGATTGATACATTTTTTCCAGGCATTTACATTTTGCAGTTATCTTCCTTGCTTTGCAGTGAAGTTGAGTTTTAAAAACTTTTCTACATGTATTTTAATATTTCACATAAATTGTTCGTTTTGTGATACAATTATCTTGGAATAAACCAATAATTTTGATTCATTATTAAACTTTAATTCAAGTTCGAGAATTCAAAAATGATGCACCAAAGAATGGACTTGTCTCAATGAACATACCTCTAAAATATGGAGGCTAAAGTAAAAATGTTATAAAATC